TCTTTCTCTGCTATCTCTGTAATTCTCCTTCTCTTTTCTTTATGTTATCATGGTATCAAGAGCCAGCATCGCTCACGCTTCTTGATCTTCTTGCTTCCGCTATTCAATTCCTTTGCGATAATTCTGATTCAATTCTTCAAATTTTTTTTTTTTCTCGCTTCGATCTGTTCTTCTATTCATTGATTCTTCCATTTGTTCTTCAACTCTTCCATTCGTTCTTTCCTTTCTTCAAATCTTAATTTCGTTCTTTGCTTAGGGTTTTCTTGATTTTGGGGATTTTCTGCTTATCAATGGCGATTTCTTCTTCCTCTTCAGTCAAAATTGACGGGTTGCTTGGGATGATTACTCTTCGTCTCAAAGACGATAATTTTCTCAAGTGGAGTTTTCAATTGGAATCTGTTCTTCAGGGTTATGATCTTTTTGGGCATTTTGACGGAACTGATGTTGCTCCTCCTCGCTTTGCTATTGTTGATGAGGAGGGTGTTACATCTGCAGTTACTGCTGCTTACAAGGAATGGATTCGCACCGATAGGGCGTTACTCAGTTTGCTCATAGCCACTCTCTCCGATGAGGCTATAGAGTATGTTATTGGCACCAAGACAGCTCGTGATGCCTGGTTAAGTCTTTCCAATCGGTATGCATCGATTTCTAGGGCACGAATCAATCATCTGAAGACTGAATTACAGACGGCCCAGAAGGGTGGAGATTCGATCGAGCGCTTTCTCTTGCGTCTGAAAACGGTCCGTGACCAATTAGTTCAAGCTGGGGTGAAGGTGTCTGACGATGATTTTATGATTGCTACTCTTAATGGCCTCCCTCAGGAATATGACATGATCAAGACGGTTTTGATTGCAAGGGATTCTCCAATTGCTTTGAAGGATTTTCGCGCTCAACTACTGGCTGCAGAGCAAACCGCAGAGGCTCGATTGGTTCCTCACTCTGCGATGTTCGTTAATCCGTCGCCTTCGTCATTTGCTTCTGTGAAAGCTATGGGCTCTTCTAATTCTGGTATGGGTTTATTGCCTACTCCATCTTCTTTACCAGTTGCTTATATGGGGTCCTATGATCAATCTATTCTGCATTCATTGGATCGCAATTCTGGTTCAAGACCTGTTCTTGGTAATAATGGTGGGGTTAGTCGTATTGGCAATAGTCAGCATGGAGGGGTTTCTGGGTTTAATCATCATTCTGGTTCTGGTAGAGGCAAATTTCAAAGCAGAGCCTCTCCTTCATCTTTCTCAGGAAATCGATTTGGTTCCAATTCTTCTCAAAAATCTGCAGTTGTTCCTGAATGTCAGATATGCAGCAAACGGGGTCACACGGCTGCTAATTGTTATTTTCGCCATGAGGCAAGCTCTTCTAGGCATGGATCTCCGGTTATTGAATGTCAAATATGTGGTAAGAAGGGTCATGGAGCCTTGGATTGTTTCCATAGATCCAACTATGTCTATCAAGGTCAAGCTCCTCCTTCCAACCTTTCTGCTATGACTGCCCAAACTTCCTATGTGCCTGATCAAGTCTGGATTGCTGATAGTGGAGCGTCTCATCACATGGTGTCTGATATTTCCTCTTTAAATCATGTTGCTCCTTGTGAATCTACAGAGCAAGTGATTGTTGGTAATGGAGAAGGTTTGAAAATTAAACATATTGGTACTACTGCCATTTCCTGTGCTTCTACCTCTCTTAAAATGCCATCAGTATTTCATGTTCCCACTGTTCTGCACAGCACATTCTGCTCCCAGGATTGCACATCATATTTCAATCCCAAAATTGCTCCTTTTGCTCGCTTTACCATCTTTACTCTTCAAACCTAGTAAAACACAAAACTAAGTAAAAATGGACTAAACTCACTCAAGAACATAGCAAGAATCTATGAGAAAGATAATAAAATGTATGAAATAATGGTTATATCACTTCCATTTGGCATCACAGACTTGGCCATCCAACAAATGAAGTGGTGCAATCAATGCTTAAAGCCTCTGGTTTGCAGTGTGCAAGTGATTCTTCCAATTCGAATCATTTGTGTTCAGCTTGCCTTCAAGGGAAGATGCATCGGCTTCCATTTCCTGTTAGACATAGTAGGTCTGAAATTCCTTTTCATACAGTTCATAGTGACATATGGGGACCTTCCCATTACAAATCTGTTGAGGGTTACAGATATTTTGTTTCCTTCCTTGATGAATGTACTGGATATTTGT